AAACGCAAACACACACAACAATAAACACTCACACAATCACAACCCACAGACACAAACACGAGCACAAGCACACCACACAACACCACACCGCACCACACCACACCACACCGCACCACCGCACCGCACCGCACCGTATCGCACCGCACCGGAAACACACACACTCATGCAAGCGCACACACACACGCGCTCACACACAAACACACGCACACGCACACGCGCGCGCACGCACACGCGCACACGCGCACACGCGCACACGCCCACACCCGCACACGTTCGCACACGCTCACACGCACACGCGTGCACATGCGCACACGCACACGCGCACACGCGCACAAGCGTACACGCGCACACGCGCGCACGCGCACACGCGCACACGCGCACACTCGCACATGCGCACACGCGCACACGCACACACGCACACGCGCACACGCCCACACGCGCACACGCGCACACGCGCACACGCGCACACGCGCACACGCACACACGCGCACACGCGCACACACGCACACGCGCACACGCGCACACGCGCACACGCGCACACGCGCACATGCGCACACGCTCACAATCACACACGCGCACACGCATACAAACACACACACACACACACACACACGCGCTCGCGCGCGCACACGCGCAAACGCGCACACGCGCAAACGTGCAGACGCGCACACGCGCTCAAGCGCACACGCGCACTCGCGTACACGCGCACACGTGCAGACGCGCACACGCGCTCAAGCGCACAAGCGCGCACGCACACACGCACACACGCACACACGCACACATGCACACACGCACACACGCACACGCGCGCTCACCTCACACGCTTACACGCTTACACGCTTACACGCGCACACGTTTACACGCGCACACGCTTACACGCGCGCGTACGCGCACGCGCACACGCACACACGCACTCACGCGCTCACGCGCACACGCGCACACGCGCACACGCGCACACGCGAACACACGCACACACTCACACACTCACGCACACACGCACACACGAACACATGCCCAAACGCGCACAAACACGCGCGCGCACACACGCGCACACGCGCACACGCGCTCAAGTGCACACGCGCTCAAGCGCACACGTGCACAAGCGAACACGTGCACACGCCACACGCGCACACGCGTAAACGCGCACACGTGCACACGCGCACACGCGCACACGCGCACACGCGCACACGCACACACGGACACACGCACACATGCACACACACACACACACACACGCACACACGTACACATGCACATACGCACACATGCACATACCCACTTACGCACAGACGCACACACGCACCCACGCGCACACGCGCAGACGCGCACACGCGCATATGCACACGCGCTCACGCACACACGCACACACGCACACTCACGCACGCACGCACACACGTACTCACGCAGACACCCGCGCACATGCACGCGCATACACGTACGCACGCACGCACGCACGCACGTTTGCACGCAATCACACACACACACACGCACACACGCACACACGCACACGCGCACACACGCACACACACACACACAGAACACACCCACCCACACGCCCGCACACATCCACACACACACACACACATCCGCACCCCCCCCCCTTCCCCTCCCCCCACGACTACAAACACACACACACACACACACACGGATACGCACACGCACACGCACCCGCATACGCACACGGACGCGCATTCGCACACGCACACGGACACGCACACGCACACGCATACGCACACGCACACGGACACGCACACGCACACGCATACGCACACGGACGCGCATTCGCACACGGACACGCATACGCACACGCATACGCACACGCACACGCACACGCACACGCACACAACACACAATACACAATACACAACACACAACACACAACACACAACATACAATACACAACATACAACACAGCACATAAAACACACACACAACACAGAACACATACACACAAGAGGCCCCCCAAGAGGTCCGAAGAGGCCCCCCAAAGCTTCCCAAGATGCCCCCAGGATACCTACAAGAGGCCCCAAGATAGCCCAACAGCGCTCTCGATGCCTCACAACTGCCTCCAGGAGGCCCCCTGAGGCTTCCAGGCAAAAGTCGGGCCTCCACGCAGCCAAGACGGCCACTGACGGTTTGATACTATTGCAGAACATCACCTTCCGACTGTCCAGAGAACCCCGACGATGCCCCCAAGGGACCCCAAGAAGCCCCAAGACGCCCCCCCAAGAAGCACCCAAGAGGTGCCTGCAACAGCCAATTCGGGAAGCACCGAGAACCCACCAAAAGCCCTTCAAGTGTCCACAGGAAGACCCAAGAGGCCCCCAAGAGGCCCTCAGGAGGCTTCACCGGGCCCCAAAGTAATGTTCAAGGTCCTGTGGAGGATGGTTCCCCACATCCTAAGTGGGGTCTCGTTTTCTCAGGACACCCCGCGCAGTACTCACACCCACCATGCCCTCTTCACACCCACTTCTCTTGTCGTCATCATCATCACCACCATCGGTAACCATCCCATTCCCCATCATCAGCACTACCATCATCATATCAGTATCATCAATCCGCATCGTCATCCAATCACTCTCTCATCCACCCACATTCACTCATCACCCAGTCGTCATCATGTCATGATCCCATCATGACCATCGGTCACCAGCAGCGCACACCACCATCGCCATCACAATCACCATCCTACCATGCCAATAGAACAAGAGGCGCCTCGTTTGCGAGTGAGTTGCGGGGAAGCTTCAGGCGGGAGCCCCCTCCGTTTGGGCCCGCATTTCATGTTGGCAGTCCGAGCGGGTCATCCAAAACTTGTGCTGTCGTCACTTTTGGACCCCTCATGCCTGAATCTTAAAGAAGCCTCAGGCGGGAGCCTCGTTTGTGAGTGAGTTGCGGGGAAGCTTCAGGCGGGAGCCCCCTCCCTATGGTGCCCGCGCTTCATGTTGGCAATCCGAGCGGGTCATCCGAAACTTGAAACCGTCGTCACCTTTGGACCCCACATGTTTGAATCTTAAAGAAGCCTCAGGCGGGAGCCTCGTTTGTGAGTGAGTTACGGGGGAGCTTCAGGCGAGAGTCCCCTCCATATGGTGCCCGCACTTCATGTTGGTAATCTGAGCGAGTCATCCAAAAGTTTCGCATCGGCTCTGTTTTCCAGTCGTTCTCGCCCCAGCGCGGGCAATTGTTCTGGCTCAGAGTCTTGCCTCATCGTTCGCGCCCCCCTCTTTTCCCCCCCTCCACCTTCCCCCGGTCCTCCTGCTCCTCCCGTTCCTTCCGCTCCAGTTCCCGCCGCTGCTGTTCATCCTCGTCCTCCCTTCCCTCCTCATCCTCCCCCTTTCCTCCTGCTCGGCCTCCCCTATCCGACTGCGCATAATACGATTGGGTCTTTTGGGGAGTTCCATGTCCGCTTTGACACTTGTTCGCGGAAAAAGAAACGCGGCGCAATGGAAAGGGATGGGTGGGAGGGGGGGTTGTCAGACGATATGGCACGGGCGCACCAAGTTTGTTATCTTTGTTATCTCTCTCTCTCTCTGCCCAACCCCTCTTCTCCCTCCTCCCCCCTCCCAAAAAATGAAGCCCCGGTGGGATACCTGGCTTCCTGATTCCGTGGAAGGGGATCTCGAGCTCGGGGCCCGCGGCGCGAAAACCTCCCAACGTCGGTGTTTGGGCCCTTCTCCTCCTTCCTCCTTTTTGCTCTCCCCCAGGTCTGATCGAAGAACGAGGTTTTTGGACGTTTTGGAAGCCTGGGGACCTCCACGAGGTTTCTCGTCGCCACCGTTGGATTATCATCGATATTCTGGCAAATGGGCGCCTTAGGAGAAGGTCAGGGGTAGATTTCTGACCCCCAGACCACTCCCACCCTTGTTCCTCGACTTCGGCATCTGCTGACCGTGGTCAGGCGGGGCCTTCAGACACGATCTGGGACAAAAACCTGGCCCCAGGGAAGGGGTCGCGAGCTTTGGCCCTCGCGGGGTTTGAAAAAGCAGTCCGCTCCAGGTCTGGGCCTTCGTCCCCCTCCTCCATCTCCGTCGCGATCTCATGTGCGCGCACTGCGACTCAGGAGGAGGAGGGACGAGGAGGAGGAGGGAGGGACGAGGAGGAGGAGGAGGAGGAGGAGGAAGAGGAGGGACGAGGAGGAGGGAGGAGGGAGGAGCAGGAGGAGGAGGGAGGAGGAGGGACTCGTTTGCCGTGCTTCCACACTGCGGCTCTCGACCCCGACCTGCCCCCGACCTGGGAGAGCTCCGTGTCGGCCGGAGGGCCTCTGCCGCTCGTGGGCGCGCAGGCTGCAGTCGGGGCGCGGAAGGAGGAACCCTCTTCGTTGGGGAGGGGCTCGGTGTTCCTGGATTGTTTCACAGCTTGCCTCAGGTTTTGCTATGTTTTTCGATGGGGAATCGAAGTCCAACTTATGGAAAAAAGGGGCCTCGTTCCTTATTTAGGGTTCCTCAGGTCAACCAGGTTTTGTTTATGTTTTCGATGGGGAATCGAAGTCCAACGTATGGAAAAAGGGGCCTCGTTCCTTTTTTAGGGTTCCTTAGGTCAACGCCCCGACTGTATGCTGACGCGTCTCGCTTGTTCACGGCCACTGTGGCCCTGGCGGGGTGGGGTGGCCGGGCGGCGCTGCTTTGGCCTTCCAGGTGAGAGGAGGGAGGGAGGACATGTATCGGGCCGGACGAAACGGGGGGATTGGGAAAGGGGGGGTTACGAAATCTGCTGCATGCAGCTGGTTGCGGCCTCACCGAGGGGCCCATTCCTCGATACATAGCCGCCTCTGGCGCCGGGAGGCGCCGCGAAAATCAGCCACGTGAGCTGATTCTCCCCCCCCCCCCTTTGCTATCCCCCCCTTTCGCCCGACCCGAATGGAAGCGGAAGGAGGAGGAGTGGGAGGAGGAGAGGGACGGCGGAGGGCTGGAGGAGGGAGGAGGGCGACGACGACCTCCGCGCCGCTGCCCGGGCCACCGAAGGCCGCCCGAGGCCTCTATAGAGGCCACCGATGGCCGCGAGGCATGGTCATGCTGGAGATCCTGACGGGGCTCGCGCCGGCGGCGCCGGATCCTCACAGGCGGGCGCCTCCCTCTGCGTCCCGCTCGTCGTGCTCCTCCCTCTGCCGATCCCCCTTGCCCCCCCTCTTCGCTCGTCTGCCGGGTCCCCCGCTCCCCCAGTTGTTCCTCACTCTCCTTCCGTCGCGTTCCTCCTCCTCCTTCTCCTCCTCCTCCTCCTCCTCCTCCTCCTCCTCTTCCTCCTCTCCTCTTCCTCCTCCGTAGCCATTTTGGCTCAAGATGTTTGGGTCCCCTGGGCAGGCAGTGGATACCTCCAGTCTGAGGCTAGACCCCCGACGTCTCTGTGAGCTCCTGTTGGAGCGACCTCCTCTGTTTCGCACCCGCACTGACGGCTGTGGGCAAACTGAAGCAATTCCAGTTCCTGCGGTCGCCAGCGCTGCTCGTTTCTACATGGCAGGGGATCATGACAAGAAGTAGGAGAAGGACAAGAAGGTCAAGAAACCTGCCAAGAAACTTCCCCCCGAAAAGCTGGCCCAGCGTTTCTTAGCCAACGTGCCAGAAAGCTGGCCCAGCTTCTTTAAGAGGATTGGTAGCCTTGGACCCTAGAAATTAATCGTGTACGCTCCTGGCTCCAAAAGCTGGCCCAGCGTTCCCTTACGAAACTTCTGAAAAGCTGGGTAAGCTTGCTTAATTCATAAGTTTCTTGATCATACTTAATCGCTTCGCTCATTCCGCCGGCCCTCGAGCGCTCTATGGGGCCTCTTTGAAGCCTCTTGGTGGCCTCTTTGGGGCCTCCTAGGGGCCTCTTGGGGGCCTCTTGGGGGTCTCTTTGGGCTCCTTGGCGGCGTCTTGGGGCCCCCTTGGGCCTCTTCTGGGACTTGGGGGCCTCTTGGGGCGGGGTAGTCGAGTGCACCCCCCTCGGAGGCCACGATCCTCGTGAGGGGTGTCGAAAAAAGGCGCTCAAAACCATCTCTGGGTAGACTTGGTCGGGCTGCGGTCGGGATACTTTTCGCCGGGGGACCCCCAGGGGCCGCCCCGCGCGCGCGAACTAGAAATACTGTTAACCAGTTACCGGAGATCTTAGCACGCCTCTGGCCCGTTGGGCCGTCGGCGAGGACCTTCGAGGAGCATCCTCGACCATTAGGCGAAAAAACCACGCACGAAACCGAAACAAGACACAGGGAATGGACGCCCGAGCGACGGCCAGCAGGCGGCGAGGTGCCCCCCCCCCGCGAGCAGGGTCCGGGCGCTGGGCGCCAATGGGGGCGCGCGCGGCGCGGGCGCGGGGCCCGCGGGCGAGGCGCAAGGGGGCCTCGGGCCGCCCAGCCTCCGCCCGCCCGCCGCGCCAGGAGGTCCCAGCGGCCCGCCGTGCGCCGCCCGCGGTGCTCGCGCGGGCGGCGGTGCTCCTCCACGGCCTGCGCGCGGCGGCCGCGCAGGCGGAGCTCACGACGCTGCCGACGACGACGACGACGCCGACGAGAACGACGACGCCGGCGACGGCGCTCCCGCCGGCGCCCGTGCCGCGCGGGGCCTGCGCCTGCGGCCCCCCCCCCCCGGCGCGCGCGAGCCCCGGCCGAGGGGGGCGGCCCATGGCCGCGCGCAGGGGTCGACGGCTCGCGACGCCGCGGCGGCGGCGGCGGCGGGCCCCCCCCCGGCCCTTGGCTCCTGCTCCTCCTCTTCCTCCTCCTCCTCATCATCATCAGTATCATCAGTATCATCATCATAATCACCATCACTATCATCATCCTCATCATCCTCATCATCATCATCATCAGCAGCAGCATCATCATCATCATCATCATCATCATCATCATCATCATCATCCTCATTCTCATCCTCATCCTCATCATCATCATCATCATCATCATCCTCATTCTCATCCTCATCCTCATCATCATCATCATCATCATCATCATCACCATCACCATCACCATCACCATCACCATCACCATCACCATCACTATCATCATCATCATCACCATCATCATAATCAGCATCCTCAGTGTCCTCGGTGTCAGCATCATCGCCATCACCATCATCATCATCATCATCATCATCATCATCATCATCATCATCACCATAAACATCATCATCATCACCATCATCATCATCATCAGTGTCCTCAGTGTCATCATCGTCATCATCATCCTCATCATCATCATCATCAGCAGCATCATCACCAGCATCATCACCATCATCATCACCATCATCATCACCATCCGCGCCCGCATCCTCATCCCCCTCCCTGACGTCGGTCGAACGTCGATGGCAAGGATCGCAGCATGCGCCGTCCTCCTCCTCCTCCTCCTCCTCTCCTCCCTCCTCCTCCCTCCTCTGCGCTCATCTCCTCCTCCTCCTCCTCCTCCTCCTCCTCCTCCTCCTCCTCCTCCTCCTCCTCCTCCTCCTCCTCCCCCCTCCGTGCCGAGGCCGGGCTCCATCGTGTACCCCGTGCAGGAGCACCTGATGCCCAGCCACTCAGGCTCGGCGGCCGCAGGGCTGCGCCGCCCCGCGGGCCGCGCCCCCTCCCGCCCCCCCGCCTCTCGGCACTCCCTCCGTCGTTCGGGAGGGAAAAACACACACAGACACAATTCATCGTCGATTCCCCAGAAGATCTGGGAACGTATGGGAAGCGGGGGGGAAGACGAGCACCCCCAAGCATATGGGAGATGTGGGGGATCTCTTTGTATTTGCGCGTATTTGTTCGTGTGTCCTGGGGCCCCTTTGATCGTGCCGTTTTCTCGGAGGTGCGAGTGCTGCCCAGGCCATCTCTCCAGCTGCTGCCACTGGCCCTGCCTCAGCTCCCTTTCGTCGCTGCCGTGCTGCAGGGAAGGGTTGGTGCGAGCTTGCCTGCGAATGTGTGCATGGGCGGGTGCGGGCTATCTCCCTCGTCGTCGTCGCCCGCCTCCTCCTCCTCCTCCTCCTCCTCGATTTTCCTTTTTGTTCCCTCTTGTGCGTCCTCCCTCTTCCGTCCTGGGTCATTCCTCCTTTCTCCTTCTCCCCCCACCCTTCTCCCCCCTCCCTCCTATCCTCCTCCTTTCCTCCTCCTATTCCCTTTCTTCTTCTCATCCTCTTTTTTCGCAGCCTGTTTGGCCCAATGCGTTTGTTTCCCGCGTGGGTCAGGTGTAGGCCTTTGATGCAGAGATGTTTCAGGAATGTGTTGCCATGTGTTTGCTTCTGCTAGCAAAAGCGTAGTGGGGTAGCAATGGCAAACCGAGAAGCCAAACTTGACGTGGATTCGGTGCAGCCAGTGTGCGAAGTGAGGATGCGAGTGGCATCACATGGCGATCAGGTGCCGCTGAAAGAAGTGAAGCGTGGCTCCGATTGGGACGAAGGGAGGCGGCGCCCACACCCACAACAGCGCGGACGAATGGCGACGAAGCCGGGCCAGATCACGTGCGCGAGTGTTGTGCGCTAGCACCTGGGCAAGGCGCTCGCGAAGTGTTTCGGGGGACAGCCTGCTCATGCCCTGCTCGAGGGGCTCTTTGACCGGTCCGGCGATCGCAAACATGGACTGAGGGGGCGTGGATTATGGCGACGGGTCCCGCTTCCAGGGGGAACCCTGGACTTCCGCCGCCGAACGAGGCGGCACCAGGGAGGGCACCTCCCCCGATCCATGAAAGGGAGCTCTTAACGGTGAACTGACACTGCGCTGTTGACGCTGCGTTAAATGAGTGAATTGACACTGCGCTGTTGACACTGCGCTGTTGACACTGCGCTGTTGACACTGCGCTGTCGACCCAATTCACCGTTAAGACCTGCTTTCCGATCCATGGATCTGGCGCCCGCGCGCCAAATCCATGGATCGCCAATCCATGCCCGCGCGCCCCCGAACCAGGGCCGGCAGCGGCAGAGCCTCGAGCCGCGGAGCGAGATATCCCAACGGCGAAAGTCCTGCGGCGTCCTGGGCCGCCGGCGTGCACGGCAGGGCACACGCAGAGCTGGCCCTCGGACAAGCTCTCCGACGCTAAGATTGAAGTCGGGCACGTCCCTCGACAGGAGGAGTCTTCAAAGATAGTCAAACTATAATATATGGGGACGTTTTTGCTAGTACTTATGAATCTTCGTTGACTGTTTTGGGGGTACTTCTCTATTTGTCCTCCCAAATCCGCCTGTAGGGGGACACGCCCGACCTAACGCTAAGAAGCACCTCGAGCAGACGCATGCGTGCCAGGACGTGTGCGCGGAGGAGTGCCTGGAGTCGCAGGAGGAGCACAGGCGTGCGCTGGCCGCCCATCCCTCGGGAGAGCCGGGACGGACGGAGGCCAGGACCGCGACGAGATCTCCTACGACCCAGTCTTGCTCGATGACGTGCACGGCCCGGGGGAAGAGGAGGAGGACGCTGGCAAGGAGGATCAGGAGGATCAGGCGGAACAGGAGGAACAGGAGGAGGACCGCAAGCTTCACGCTTCGCCAACGCCACAGAGGAGGGCCCCGAGCAGGTGGAGGAGCCGCGGCGAGGAGCCGGCGCTTTTGAGATCTGCTCACCAGGCAGGCCCGCGAGAGGCGCTGGCAGAGCCTCGACCTGACCAGGCCACGCCAAGAGCGAGCTCGGGAGGGCGGGCGGTGGCGGCGAGGCCGCCGCGCAGGCGTCGCCGCCATGCCACGAGGGACACCGAGGAGGCCCGGCGGGGCCCGCCACCAGGAAGGCCGCGCCACCCCCGGGGCGCGCCCGCGGCCCGCAGGCGCGCGCGGGGGGTGGCGGCCGGAGGGCGCCGGGAGGGCGCCTCTCCTCCTCCTCCTCCTCCTCCTCCTCCTCCTCCTCCTCCTCCTCCTCCTCCTCCTCCTCCTCCTCCTCCTCCTCCTCCTCCGGGGAGGACGCGGAGGAGCGTCGGACCGGCTGCGGCCTGGCGGGCAGGCCGCCCCTGCAGCGCGCTCCTGCGGCTCCGCCTGCCCTCCCAGACGCCCGAGGTCACGCGTTTGTTCTCCGCACGTCGGCCGGCGCGCGGAAGTGCGGGCCGCGCCGCCTGCCGCAGCATCCCAGGAGGGAAACAAGGAAAAGGCGCACAGACACACTGAATCCCCGACGCCCCAGGAACTAGGGGGAGAGATGGGAAGTGGGGGGGGAGACAGAAACCCAGAAAAGATAAGAAAAGATGGAACCATTTTTTTAATGTGTATTTATGTGTGTGTCCCAGGGCCTCTTCAAAAACGGCACCAGCATGCATTGCCGGAGTTCCGCGCGGATGTCTCGAAGCCGCGCTGGGCCCCCCCCCCCTGGCGGCGCCTCCAGCGCCGATCCGAGAAGTCCGAGCGGACCTCTGGCAGCTTCGGTTTGTGCACAGTGTTTGTTTCAAGTCGGGCGTGTCCCTCTACAGGGGGAAAGTTCAAAAAAGTCAACAATAGTATGGGGACTATTTTTTGACTATGCTTGGCCTTTTTTGTTTGCTCCATGTTTCGCCCCAAATCGGCCTGTAGGGGAACACGCCCGACTCAAGTCTTGTTATCCCCTGGGCAAGGCCCGCAGGGGAGCGCGTCGCAGCGAGGGAACGGTGCCAGGGCCGACGCGCGCACGCGCGCGAGCGCACGCACGTTCACGTGGGCGGGCGCGAGCAGGAACGGCATGTAATTACGGGAGCCACCTGCGAACCCTCCTCTCCTCACGTTCTTCCCTGGGCATGCTCTCGGCCCCTCCGCAACGTCAGCCCCCCCACCCTCCGCCTCTAACCTCCTCCTCCTCCTCCTCCTCCTCCTCCTCCTCCTCCTCCTCCTCCTCCTCCTCCTCCTCCTCCTCCTCCTCCCCCTCCTCCCCCGTCCGCTGGAGTCGTGCTCTGCCCGCGGCGGCGGGCCCCTGACGTGTGGAGACCCCCTCGCAGGGACCGGGCCTTCGCACCCTTGGGGACCGTGCCTCTGGACGGCTCGGGGGCCTCGGCGAGGGCCCCCCCCCGAGGAGGGAGGAGGGAGGAGGGAGGAGGGGAGGGAGGAGGGAGGAGGGAGGAGGAGGAGAGGAGAAGGAGAGGAGGAGAAGCGAGGAGGAGGAGGAGGAGGAGGAGGAGGAGGAGGAGTAGGAGGAGGAGTAGGAGGAGGAGGAGGAGGAGGAGGGAGGAGGAGGAGGAGGAGGAGGAGAGGGAGGAGGAGGAGGAGGAGGAGGAGGAGGAGGAGGAGGAGGAGGAGGAGGAGGAGGAGGAGGAGGAGGAGGAGGAGGAGAAGGGAGGAGGAGGAGGAGGAGGGGAGGAAGGAGGAGGAGGAGGAGGAGGAGGAGGAGGAGGAGGAGGAGGAGGAGGCCCCCAGCGGCCCGGAGCGGCCGGCGGTACAGTCCACCCGCATCGTCAGGATGGGCAACCTTCCCACGGCTGCCCTTGCATCCTTGCCCCTTCGCCCCACCCCCAGCGACTTTCGCTGGTCAACCTTGTTCGCCTCCAAGGCCCTCGCGTCCTCACCGCGCATCCTCACTGTACCGGGGAGACGCCAGACCCGAGCAAGCCGGAGCTCGGGTTTGCCGACGTTTTTTTGACGAGCGCGTCCTGGATTTGACGGTCCAGTTTTCGTGGGATGTCTGCAGCGGGAGCTCGCGTCAAATTTCAGAGTGGGCCTCGTCATTTTTATGGTGGCCCCGTCGGGCCAACCCGAGTCCCCCGTACCCGAGTCTTACGTCTCCCCGACTATACGGGTTGCTGTGCTCCGCCGCGAGTTTCTCCTCGACGCGGGGGGACCTGCGCCCCAGGGGGGTCCAGACGCGGCCCCAGGCCCGTGCCGGGGTGCGTTTCGGCCAGGATCTCGGGAGAGCCCCGCCGCGGCGACGAGAGATCTTCCGAGGCCCAAGAGTTGTGGAAGTCGACTAACGGAGAGGAAGCATGCTGCCAAATACTTTCCAGATGTCCAAAAGATGTCGAGCATGCTTGAAATGTGTGCGAAGCGGGTTTGCAAAATGTTTAGACCAGGTCTTACACATTTTAGGCACACAGTTGATTCAGTGATCGGGTTGCTAAGAGTGTCCGTTGTCGTGGCACCCACGACCCAGGAGTGGTGACCCTCTCCCCGAGGCCTCGAGCCTCGGGCCTCGACGACCGAGCTCGGCGGGGGCCCGCGAGGGGTTCGCTCCCGAAGCCTCGAGCCTCGAGCCTCGAGCCTCGACGACCGAGCTCGGCGGCGCCCGCGAGGGGCTCGCGCGCGGGGGCCTCGCGCGCGGGGGGCGGCCTCTCTCCGAGGGGGCGGGCGGCTCCGAGGACGGCCGGCGGCCTCGTCCGGGAGCCCTCCGCGTGCCCCTGGGGGGCCCTGCCGAGGAGCCGCTGGGGCCCCTCCAAGAAGTCCCGTGCCTTCCAAGAAGCCTCCTCCTCCTCCTCCTCCTCCTCCTCCTCCTCCTCCTCCTCCTCCTCCTCCTCCTATCCTCCTCCTCCTCCTCCTCCTCCTCCTCCTCCTTCTCCTCCTTCTCCTCCTCCTCCTCCTCCTCCTTCTCCCCCTCC